GTAAAGATAAATAAAGTATAGGACTTTGAATTCAAAGATAATTGAAATATTATTGAGTTGTTTTTGTTGAACAGGGTTTGCAAAGTACACAAGTGTGTGTAGAGATTTTAGAGTGATGGTTTTGCTATGCTTCCAGTTATTAGTTGACACTTTCCACCTAGCCTGATCAGATTTGTCACGTCTCCATTGGTGGTTGTGCCAGGTCAAATTTTCACTTTAATTTTTACTTTTGGCTAACCTCCTCGTCGTCAAAAAAGAGAAGAGAAATTTGAGTTCATGCTTGTGAAAAAATGGTATCTGTGTTTGATTTACTGAATAAAAATAAGTAAAAATGAAGTAAAACAATTCCCTTGTACATAGATTAAGATCTTGTTTGGTAAGTCTGTCACGATAACTAATGTCATAGTCATCTTCCATGGTCGCGCTGACGGTTATGAATCTTCCACTTTTGTAGTCTTGAACTTTCTGCGAACTCTGACAGGCTGATGCGTCTCTAGTGAAATTTGATTATACATCTTCCACATATTGTTAATCGTGAAGTTACGCGCTTTTGGTGGAACAAACGCATAATTTTAGCGTAGACAGACCTTCAGAATATACATATCCTCCACGGTTGTTATCGTAAACTATTTCACGTTGGCTACAATCATATCTTTTTTAAGTCTCTGAATCTTCGTAAAGTCACGAGTAGATGGAACAAGCGCATAATTTTAGACAAACGTTTAGAATATACCTAAGGCTATCAAATATTCACATAAATCTTCCAGATTATCCATTCACATAGTTTTCTTTTTTCTTTTCGTTTTTTTTTTTTTTCTTATGAAAAACGCATTCACATAGTTTGTTCATTTGTGTATATATAGATTTGTTTAAGCAGTTTAGATGGTTACGAAATGGGGTAGAGTCATTAGATTATTATAGAGTTTTGTTGAAATGTGCAAAGTTAGTCTAGATTTGTTTTAGTTAGTTTAGATTGTTACCAAATGGAGTAAGTCATTAATTTGGTGTTTAGTGGATTAGGAATGCATGAATATTCTAGATTATTATAGGGAGTTTTTGAAGAAATGTGCAAAGCTTTTCGAGTAGTGTAGATTTGTTTAAGTTGTTTAGATTGTTCCCAAATGGAGTAGATTCATTTGATGTTTGCTGGATTAGGATGGGGTGGATATTTTAAATTATTGGGAAATTTGAAGAAATATGCAAACTTATTTTGATAAGTGCTCTAGAATTTTTTTGAGGGGATGAGAAGCCTGTTTATAAAAGTGGAGTGTCATTTGTTCCAACTAGACTTTTCACTTGCAAAGTTTTGTTGAGTTTTCTCTCCCACATACAATTAATACCACCAAAGTTCAACAATATCAAAGTTTTTTCTTTTTCTCCCTAAAAATACATTAATATCCAAATTCAAAAAATTTAAATAGTAAATGAGGAAAAAAAAGTTGTGAAAATTTTGAAAACTTAATATTTTTAGGGAACATAATATACAAATTTATATATATGTATAAAAATAATTTTAAAAATTGATATATTATATAGGGCGGGGCCAGGGGCATGGGCCCCTAAGCATAAGCTGGCTCCGCCTCCGCACTCAACTATCAAGTTGACCTGTTGGACAAAATCTCCTACCGTTACATTTGAAATCCATCTTATTAAATCTCTGTCGTACTTGACCCTCTTATGCAAGGATAAAGCAAACAAACAAATACATATTTATCTTTTTTGCGTCTTAGAGCAGGAATCGGCATATTAAAATTAAAATTAAAATGGAAGAAATTTAGTTCACAAGTTGGATAAAATTTCCTCTTCTAACACGCTGATGTGCTTTCCAACACAAGTACTTCTCTTAGAGTAAACATGTGGAGTGGATTTAGACAAGTCATCTTTGGCTACCAAACAAACTCTTAATCTTCATACAAGGCCTCTCTTCCTTACCTCTCTGCGTTGTTCAGCAATGTTATGCCAATGCTCGATCACTCACAAAACATCTACATCAATATATATATATATATATATATATATATATATATATATTCAATTTTTTGAGTGAGGACCTCAATTCGAATTACCACATATATAGCTTAGCTTCAATATTTTATATGACTTTCATCATCTATTAACATTTTTTTTTTCTTGATATATCTATATTTGGATGATTCATCGTGGAACATTCAATAAACAAGATGCCCATAAAGGGCCCGGGAATATATTCTTGTTTGTTTGAAGAGAACAGTCATATTCATATCCATATAAAGTTGATGTGGTGTTTGAGATGTTTTTTTCATAAAGCTCAATTAATGGTTGTGGATTTGTGAAAATAATGGACAGACTGAATGTGAGAGAAGAATATGAGTGCATGACCACATGGAATAATATTGATCAATCAACTTGCAATCAACCATCCTATCTGAACATCATATTTATCTTGCAATCTTTATATCCGGCAAGAGTCAAACGGGTCGGATAGCTTTAAAACCCGATTCACATCTATCCTTTTTTATTTTCATGAATTTTTCAAAGTAATTGGTTTTTGTTATTAGTGTTGCATCAAACATTTATTACAACACTTTAAGAAGAGAGTATAGCTGGCAAGAGTCCTTGTTAGTCTATTCATTAGAGTCACTACAAAAAAATCGACGCATTGTAGTAGTATTAATTTAAAAGTTCTTCCTAATTGTATATTCCCTATCCTGGATTAACCCGACCCATTTCCAGCTGCCACTTTGACATTCTCGGTACAATGAACTTAGAGCTTTGAACTATGACTTTACCCAGACAAAGAATCACAATAATTTTAGGTTTTGTGACTAAATTCAAGCTGTTGAATGAAAGACCTAATGAGAGACTGAGAGATGAACCTGTCTTAGTCTCTTCTTCATCACTCTATGAGCTCATTATTCCAATTTTATAATCAACACATCCCATATGTCCTCCACTCAAAAAACACAATAAAATGTCAATGCTTTCTATTCTTGACTTAAGAGAATTCAACTCTTGGGTTTGAAAATATAGCAATTTTGCAGTTTTAATGAATTATTCCAAACTTCTTCAGTTAAAAAGCATTCAAAATAAGACTGTCATTTGTTCATCTTTCTTATTCTCCTTTAGAATAACATGGGCACTACAAATGGACTAGTGAATGCGCCAAGACCCTAAAGAGTTTCTCTACTTGATAATTGGCATGCCAAACTTTGATTTGCTCATAGATAGATATTCGCAATCACCCGCAAATCACATCTCAATAATATTTTAAGGAAATAAGGCCATTCAATATATTACATGTGTGGCAAGTCCAAATAAACCTGCAACATGTGGCGAACCCCACCCAATTGTTATCCAAATACTCGCCACATGCAAGGTACTCTATGGTCCACCAATGGCTTAAAAAAAATTGTATTTTATTATTATTATTTAGCTTCCATCATTTAAAATTAAATTTCGGACCCCACCTCTATCCAAAATAAAAATAATAAAAACATACCAAGTGATTGAACTCGCCACTTTAGAGGCCCTCTGGTTTCACAAAAGTGGAGAGTCAAAAGTGACTCTCCATGCCCACTGTTTTGAAAAAAATAATAATAAAATAATTCCATTATGGAAATAATAAACTCCTCCTGAATGGTACTTGGATTTGTGCAATTTTACAAGCCACTTTAAAAATAAAAAAATTTAGTGGGTTTAGTTCAATAGTTCATGTCTCCTTGAATAGGTACGGGCCTTAGCCCCTTTAGGTCCAAGACCCAGCTGAACAAAAAGGAATACAAGGCCTGTATGGGCTTCTTGAATCAACAGTTAAGCCCAAAGTTAAACTGAAATACAAAATATGCTCAGAATGCCTAGGGATGGGGAAGACATTCTTTGCAAGAACAGAGTCCACGAACCAGAGTTGGCACAGAAAGAATGATTTATTTCTGCTTGTGGTTCGAGTGCCGGTATACTGGTTGTGGCAAATTTCTTCCACAATGTCAGACCATCTCGAGGAACAATTCAGATTTTTTTTTTTGTTCAAAATAATAAACATTGAATGGTTTACCATGTATAATTTGTTCAAATCTTTAAAATGGTCAGTGCAATTTGTTCAAAAAAAATCAAATTTTAAAAATTAAAAAAAAAAAACAAAAGGTTAATGAAAAATTACACATGACTACCAGGTTTTTTATTTCTTCACTCTCATTTTAGAATTAAGGTTCATTGTTGGCTGAGAATTTCAACTCAATTTTTAGAAAAAGAGTAATCACATGCCAGTCAATATAGTGGTCCTACTTATTAATTGGGCGGTCAAAGTATCATTTTCCAGATCCTGATACTTTATAATTTTTCTGGCAAAAAAAAAAAAAAAAATTTATATATATATATATATAAATTTTTCCGTGGTCGTTGTTCGTGTCTTCTACAGGTGGCATAGATTCTTCGCCGTCGGCATAAGATGCTGCCGGCAATAATGGAGAAGAAAGGGCAAAAAACAAAAGAAAAAAAAAAAAAAAAAAAAAAATAAGAAGATAGAGAAACGGTGACGTTGGGCAGTAAAAAAAATAAAAGGGCAGACTAGGTTTTTTTCCTAGGTGAACAGTAGTCGGGTCTTATATGTGGGTTTTTTTTTTTAAAATCGTGTATATGTGTAGAGAGAGAAAAATAAAAAATGTTTAAGTCTTTTCATTTAAATTATAAATTTTAATATATAATTTATAAGCAAAACAATAAAATTATATTTTTTGCTTTTTTCTTTTTTTAAATAGTAAGTCACATGAAGCAGAAGGGAGAGTGGCAGCAAATTCGAGACTTATTGAGAAGGGCGGTACAAGTTAGGAGTATTACATATTTATGCTAATAAGGCCTGACAAGATTTTACGTGAAATTATTAAACTTAAAAAAGTATAAGTAGAAATATTAGCAAAGGTTAGGGGTGTAGGTGAAATTTATCGAATTATCCATCGTCCTGGCCGGCGCGATATCATAGTCAAACTCAAATCAAAAGTCTTTCAATACTTGGGACACAACACAACAAAACTCTCTCTCTATATAATACACACATATACAGTTATATATATATATATACTCTTATATTAGGACAATTTTGAGTCATTGTTGGACACACGCGGTCACACAGGAACTTAGTCCTGCAGAGCAGTGGAAGAGAACTTGTGCAACGTGGTAACAAGTGGCTGAACATGTGTCCTCCACCAGAGCCACCTCCATGGACACGTTCGTTGCTATGTGTGAGCCTATTCATCACCACCATCTCTGCACTCCTGCCTTCTACCGTTGCTCAAACCACCACTTTCCCAACCTCACCACCCTCTCACCGTCTTCTCAAAAATATGGTGCTCTCTCTCTCTAGATATATATATGCGCATATTGTATCTCTTTCTAATTTCACACATGTACATTCATTCCTGGATGTAATTCTTAGATGAAATTCTGTTTTTTCTTGATTATTTTTTATCTTTCCTTCTCATATCTTATTCAATTTTTTGTTTTTTTTTTGGGGGGTTTGTCTTCTTTAGAATTTTGTCTAATGGTGTCAGTTGACTAAGTGGCAAGTTGAAAAGTCTGGCTTACACATTGTCAAAACCCCATTTACATTTCGACCCAATTATGTGTGTGTGTGAAATGTTGTTCTAATTAACTTACTATCTCGTTTTTCAAATATTGACCCATTTCAAATCTTACTCCTTTTTGTCATTGTAAAATTGGCAACCAATTATTTGAGGTTCTATTCACATAACTACAGAGTTTTTAAAATTGGAATAATAAAAAATAAAACAAAATAAAATTGAAATTGAAATTTCTGATTTCCTGTCAAAACTAGAAGTATACTAATGAATATAGTCCAAGGAAATTTGCAACCTTGATTCAATTTTATATGCCAAACACTTGTGGCAGTGTATTCATATATATCACATCTGGGATTTCCCATTCTTGCTTTATTGTTCTGATTTTTCTGAAATATTATACAATGCATGAAATAAAGTTTTTTTCTTTGGAATCTATGTTAATTGGTAGTAAACTTCTCTTATACCCTTTGTGTGTGTGTGTTTTAATGACTTGTTCATTTATATACTCTTATTCTATAATTTTGTGTATTCCTGTAAATTGTCTCAAATAGAAGTTGGAAACTCTGGCTTACATTGTTAAAACCCCACAAATAATTTGATACAAGTATATATGTGTGTATGAAATGTTATTCTAATTAAGTAATATATTTATTCAAATGTTAACCGGTTTCATCTTAGTGAGTGGTGTGTGTGTTTTCTTTTCAGAAGTTCAAACAAATGCTCACACACCCGCAATATTGCCCTAGTATGGCTCAAACACTCAACCTCCCCTTTGGGAATGAGAGATTATACCATCTGAGCTAATGCCCATTGGTTGTGTGTGTGTGGTTGTTTTTTTTCTTTTCCAAAGTTCAAACAAACTCTCACGCACCGCAATATTGCCGTAGTAGGGCTCAAACACTCGACCTTCCCTTTGGAAAGGAGATATTATACCATCTGGGTTAGTGCCCATTGGTTGTGTGTGTGTGTTTATTTTCTTTTTCAAAGTTCAAACAAACGCTCACACACCCACAATATTGCCCTAGTAAGGCTCATACACTCGACCACCCCTTTGGGGAGGAGAAATTATACCATGTGGGCTAATACCCATTGGTTGTGTGTGTACGTTTTCATAGTTACTTTTGTAGAGATTTCCAGATAGATTTTCATGGCATGGTTTTGAATTTAAGACAGTGTTTCTACAATTATCTTCATTGGGATAATGGTTGTTAAGTTCAAAAGATGCTTATAACTAATAAAAAATGCACCTCCAATATTAAACTTTTGGCCCTCATTAGTTTCATTTCATATGTTGGAAATTTTCGTTTTAAGTACCTAACATTTGTAAAACAGGTGGGTGCATATAAAAAAATCTGAAAAATGTTGTCTAAGAGAGTTTCAGTTCATTCCCGGACCATTGCGTCTAGATAAAATCCGTCGAAATCCAGGATAGAGTAAAGCTAGTCCATTTCTTTGGTATCACAAACTTTTCAACTGACCTCTTGCATTCTTTGATCAGGACAGTGGGAAGTTCGAATCTAAGAACAACAGTGAATGCTCGGAAAAGAAGTGTCATGTTTCACTATTTAAAAGTGCGTTTAAGTTACTTGACGCGAACTTCTTCAATGATAGTAAGGTAATTTACTTCACTTGACTAGTTGAGGAGTTAGGAAACTTATTATTATTTAACATGCTCAGAATCATCCTATCAAAACTATGGTTTAACTCAAATGATTTTGGGGGTTTATTTTGTTCGATTACTTTAGATACTGGAGATTGAGAAGGCTGCAAAAGAGTTCAATATTCCTATAATCACAGCCAATCGGAAGTCTGTTGCTTCGGTTAATGGAGGATTACACAATCCATCTTGTTTGGTTTTCAACCCTGAGTGGAGCAATGATGAAACACATCACAAGAGAAAACGGTTCAGTTATCCTTCTCTCTCTAGGGTACAGAGGCCGAAAAGTGAAGAAGACATTGCCTTTATGAGTGTAAGTTCATGCTGCTATAATAAATTTGGATTGATTTCAATCGAATGCAATGACCGTTCATATATATATATATATATATATATATATATATATACACATGCATATATATTTTACAAATGAGTTTGGGGGTTGTCACCAGGTTCTTGAGTTGGGGCAACTCATTAAGACAAAACAAATCACGTCGGAGGAACTTACTGGGATTTTTCTGAAGAGATTGAAGAGGTAAAAAGTGTGCAAAATAATCACTTATTGAAGCTGTGCTTAGGAGATTAATTTATGTCTTTCTAGTTTTCAAATTTATAACGATTCATTGTAATAATGCCACAGATACAATCCTGTTCTTGAATCTGTTGTCACTTATACAGAAGAACTAGCATACAAGCAAGCAAAAGAGGCGGATCGATTACTTGCTCAAGGAGTATATTTAGGTAAAGACGTTTACCATCATCTTAATTTCAGAGCAGTTCTGTTTTTAAGCATAGTGGAAAGCTATGTTATAAGGACTCTACAAAAGTACATGAAGTATGTCGGATGCATGACATTAGGTCTACGGGGTAAAGGATATGTGTCCAAAACATTTTGTTAGATATGCACCTAAAAAGCATATCCAATAATTAAATTTTATTTTATTATTGCTTCGACACAAGTTAAATGCTTATTTTGGACACTATGTTACAATAAAATGCTATTTTACTCTAGAAAATAAAATTATGTAAATATTTAACAGTGTCCTACGTCCTGTTTTGGGATTTGATATATCCGACACTTGGACACTAACTAGTGTTTGTAGATTTTCCCAAGTCAGTACAAAATTAGTAGTAGTATTAGATGCCACTTGAATGTTATATTGGTGAACGATTACTGAGCAAATGTCATTATGTCAAATGGAAAACCAGTTAGAATGTCAACTGTTCTAATATAGGAACTTCATCGAAGACAATCAGTTATTTTGAGTTTTTAGACAACAATAATTTTTAACTTCAGAGCATTCCTTTTTGAGAGATTGTCCACTTTTTTGTCATTTGTAGGTATTGTTATGATTTTTAGGCAATACTAAATAGCTACATAGAAAATATTTGTCCTTAGAAAAAGGAACCTTTCCTCTCCCCAGCCATTTCGGGTTAAGAAGATGTGAAAGCGCTTTTCTTTCTATAAGAACGGTGCGTTCCGAGGTGTGAAGTGGGAGAGAAGGGATGTCATAATTGGGGTTTTGAATAAGACGACCTTTTTCATTTTGAATTTTTTCTTTTTCATATTGAAAAAGTAATAAGAATGAGAGGTGTTAAGCTTTTTATCATCCTGGCGTCGAGCTATTTTTCCGCAGGACCTCCCCTACAGTATCGTCACCGCAGTAGAGTTTAACCACCAAGTTCGGGATAGATTGGTGTGGTTCCTCTACGCCTAGGACACCAGAATACCGAAGACTCACTTTATATAATTTCTTTTATACCGTTCTCTTGTTTATTATTTGGTTGATTTCAGAACTAAAAATTAACTTGCATTGTAGGTCCTCTCCATGGGATACCTTACGGATTGAAGGATATAATTGCAGTTCCAGGATACAAAACAACATGGGGTTCAAGAACATTCAAAGATCAAGTTCTTAACTTTGAAGCTTGGGTTTATAAGAGGTATTAATCAATTTGCAATCTGGAGACTACTTTCGGAAAGTAAGTGATATTGAGCTTTTGTAGTTTGTGACAACTCGATACAGGTTGAAGTCTGCTGGGGCAGTTCTTGTTGCAAAGCTTGTTTCAGGATCATTGGCATATGATGACATCTGGTTTGGGGGTAGGACGAGAAACCCATGGAATATTGAGGAATTCTCGACCGGTTCATCAGCTGGTCCCGCTGCCTGCACCTCAGCAGGTATTTTCGAGTTTATGTTGAGTCTTACATTTTCATTTCCTTTCATGTCATTTTCTTTTTTTTTCCCTTTCATGTCAGAGTGCTTTTACGTCATAGTGGGCATTTATTTACATCTAAAAAGATGTAGAAGGAACAAAATTTAAAAATTAAAAAAAAAAAATTCTTTTTTCCTAATCATTGTTACTCGAATTATTATAAGAGTAGGTTGAATTGGCTGTTGACCAAATCTAGATGGAACTTGCACAAACTTTCTACTAAAAAATGTTTCCTTCATCACAGGTATGGTTCCATTTGCCATTGGTTCAGAAACAGCTGGCTCCGTGACCTTTCCTGCTGCTCGTTGTGGCGTGACTACTTTGCGCCCGACTTTTGGTACTGTTGGTCGAACCGGTGTGATGAGCATATCCGAGAGCTTGGTATAACAGACATTTTTATCTTACATGTCACAGTTTTCCTTTTTAGTTGTAGTAACTGAGAAATTTAAATTGTACCTGTTTAACAGGATAAGCTTGGCCCTTTCTGTAGAAGTGCTGCAGATTGCACAATCGTTCTTGATGCAATTCGGGGAAAAGATCCCGATCACCTTTCTTCCAGAGAAATTTCCCTTGGTGACCCATTTTCAGTTGACATCACAAAGCTAACTGTTGGATATCTTGAGGATGCTGAGATGGAGGTATATGAGCATACAAAGTGTCTAAATTTTATGTTTAATTTCCAAAAACTTAGCAAGACTCGGGCCTTAATTAAGCCAGATTATGGTTTTAAATAACCAACAAAACTGATTATATAATGCAAAAATTTAGCAACCTTGTGATGAAAATGCCAGGTTGTCGATGTGCTTCAATCGAAGGGTGTCAAGATGGTTCCTTTTAAACTGAATTACACTGTCGACTCGGTTCAAGGTATCTTAAATTTCACAATGGATGTGGATATGTTAGCTCACTTTGATGAATGGCAACGCTCTAGGAAGGATGATGATTATGAAGCTCAAGATCAATGGCCACTCGAACTTCGCCGTGCACGTGTAATCCCAGCTGTAGACTATGTTCAGGTATGTTCAATCTTGTTACTAATGGTCGAATGGGAGCTTGCAATTAAAAAAAAAAAAATAGTTTGCAAATATTGATATACAAAAAGAAACACATGAAGTCTTGAGTTCTCTGATGAGTTGAAGAAAGTAAACCATTAATGAACTTATTTTGTGATGTAGGGAGAGTCGCTATAGAGTTCCTCTGTCTTATATGAGTAGGATCTGTAGAGGACTGCTTTATGTCACCCTATAAAGACTTACTGCCAGTGGCTGCTAAAATCATTACAGTAATTTAGGTATATTGGCTTTTTATCATTTGGTGCATAAAAAGTATATATTACCTTAAAAAATTAGGGTCTGTTTGGCTAATGCTTTTGCTTTGTGTTTTTTGCTTTCGCTAGTGTACTGTAGCAAAGCAAAAGCACGAAGCATGTTTGGTAACGTTTGATGTCATTTGAATAATACCGAAGTGCTTCCAAAATTGAGGCCAAAATCAGAAGCATCAAAATGATGCTTTTGTTTGCTTCCGCACGGTAGCAAAACACTGTTAAAAAAAATAATAATAAAATTCTAAATTAACATTTTTAACTAGCCATTCAAATTTTTAAACTTGCAACACTTTTTACCAAACATGCTCTCATGTTTTTACTTTAAAAAATCTTGCAGCAAATTTACGTTACCAAACAAGTTTCGAAACAATGTTGAACACACTCTAAAGCGGAAACATTGCTTCTGTTTCGCATTAAAATAAAAGCACAAAGCAATTGTGGTTGCCAAACAGGCCCTTAGTGAATGTTACATCTTACTCATCTGCTTTTCCAAATGCTCACAAGTCTTTATTTTGTTCAAGGGGTCGTAAAGGAAAAGACCATCTTTTGTGTTAAATGTCATCTTTCAATGCTTTATTCAAGGCTTTGAGGGCTTCAATGATGTTCTTGTAATTCAAGGTCTCGTGTCTAGTTGTTGAAGACATTTTTTGATTTGATGACCAGTTCTAGTATATATAGTAAAGGATTAATCGATGGTCCTTTCTTGAAAGTATATATAGTTTTGTATTGCACGTGTGAGGAGAGGAAGATTGATTTGCATAGAAGGTAAGAGACAAAGAGGTCACCAATAGGCCAGTGGCCTACTGGTACTAAGCCCCTACTTCCCAAAGGGAGGTCAGGGGTTCGAGCCTCCATGGAGGCATGTGTGTGTGAGTGCCAACTAAGAAAAAAAAAAAAGAGAGACAAAGAGGTTGACCTAAACTAATTTGGAATGAAGTGATAAGGAATGATTTAAAAAAATTAAAGTCTGGTAGGAGATATGGCTTATGATAGAAAAGAGTGGAGAGAGAATCCATATGGCCTACCCCGTTTGTACGGGATAAAGCCAAGGATGATGATGATGTATGTGAACATTGGTAAATAGAGAAGGAGCTGCAGTTGATGATTGCTTGGTTAGTATAATCCATTGTATGCAAGCAGAGAGGTTAAGATTGCCAGTGGGCTCGATCTCTTTATGGTTAGAGAGTTCCTATATGAAAAATGCATGTCCAGAATTATGGTGCTTGTTTCCATAGTAGATAAGTTATTCAACGTCAATTATCTGATGAATCTGGGATTCTGAAACAGAATTTCTTAACAAGTAATGATAAGACTAACATGCGAAACGAATTACAGTCTAGAAACTCATTTCATCAAGTGCCTTGAAGGTAGGGAGTCTGACTTGTGAGGCAGTCATTTATAGTGAAGTGTCATGGAAACTTCAATGTTTCTGGATTCTGATCCAAGTCTAATAAAAACTTTGTTTATTCGTATTTGTATTTGATAGTTATAGTTCTGAATACATGTCGGATACACGCATCTGCAATCTTATTTTTTACAAACAATTATACGATACTTATAGAACACTCTTTTTTTTTTTTTTCCCTAGTTGGTACTCACACACACTTGTCTCTTGTGAGACTTGAACTCCTGACCTTCTTTTGGGAGGTAAGACGCTGATACCGCTAGGCCACTGGCCCCGTTGGTACTTATAGAACACTCTTTAACTTGACATATTTTCATAATTATTGTAGTATCAACATGTTCATACTGCCGTTCCTCTTTTTCTTAAGTTGGTTGAATTAACGTTGTGATACTACAATTTGTTGGCTAGACATAAGCTGGTAAAAGCAGCAGAATTCGTGTGAATATGTAGTCGTAAAAACCATGCCCGCTACATTAGCCAGAGACATAAGTATTAAATAGTATTTCTATAACTGAAGTTTGTTGGAGGTCAGATGGGTATGGATTAATTGGTTGTTGGACTTCATGCGAGACTCAAATGTGCATTTAATGAACTATTACAAAAAAAAAAATATTCAGTGTGGTGATCGCATCATTGTCTGGCTGTCCTTGGCTGTCTTCACATCTATAACCAAAATATATATATATTTTTGAACCTTTAAAATTATAAGAATCCAAGTAACTCATTTTAAGGCAAAATTTCACTTTAGAGTCGATGCATTTAAAGGGAGACAAGAGTGGCCACCACAAGAAGTGATGGAATGAGGACCACAATATGAACTACTGCAGAAATCTTTGTTTAGTATGAGTCAATGACTACATAAAGTAGACCATTTTTCTTATTTATTTCGAGTTATTTATTGAATATTAACAACGAATTATTATCCACAGGCACAAAGAGCACGAGGAAAATTAATTCGGGAAGTAAGAGAGAGTTTCACAGTGGACGCGTTTGTTGGCAATGCAACTGACTGGGAGAGAGTTTGCATGGGCAATCTTGTGGGCATGCCTGTAATGGTTGTTCCTACAGGATTTACTAAAATATCGAACCCACCTTCAAGTGATACTCGACGAAGGACAACCGTCGCCACAGGGATTTATGCTCCTCCTCAACATGATCACATTGTAAGCTCCCTACGTTTCAAAATCTGTATGTTCTGTTATCTTCTAAAAGGGATACAAAGAGCAATTAATACACTGCATTATCATTTTTTCTAGACCTCAATGGTTCCATGTATGAGTTTGACTATACTATGAGCTATGTTACATGGACTCTTCAAAAGTAAGTGAAGAATCCATGTCGAACACAAAGAAAGAGTATGAGATACATGTCCGATATTAAACACTATGTAACATAAAGATATTATTTTACTCTAAAAAGTAAAATAAAAAAATTAAATAATATGAATATCTAGCAATGTCTATGTGTTCTATTTGAGAATTTGACACATCTAACATGTCAATACATACCCGACAAACATACTCGAGTACAAGTAACATAGACTATGAGAAATGTTCAATGGGTGCTATACCATGCATGAATTGTTCTATCTATGAGATGCTATATATTTGATATGTTTGTCTATATTGTAAGCCAACTATTTAATTTCTGGAAATAATGAACTAAGTGGTTTTATTTGCTAGAGTTGGAAGTAATTTTTCTTTGTACTGATCTTTCATTATTTCATGTGCAGGCTTTAGCATTGGCCATAGCTTATCAATCAGTCACAGATCATCACAAACAGCGACCGCCAATCGACGATCTTGGGCCAAACGACTCGATCCCAAATCCACCCAAAGCCACTGTTCCTCCCAGACAATTGTGCGGTTAGAGGCTTTGGACATGCATCTTCATTGTTTTGTGCATTGGTGCCATATCGGTTTCACCATTGAAATGACTTTGTGGTATGCACGTCTACAATAGTTATATGACCTCTTTTTTCTTTTTTTTCCTCTAGAAAGTTCAAGCAAACACACACACACTTACATATTACTCCTAGCAGGTCTCGGACATTCAATTTGATCATGCCATCCAGACGAATGCCCATTGATCAATAGTTATATAACATAGACTGGGCAATGTTGTTCAAAAACAAGGGCATAGAATACAATGAAAATTTTACTTGTAATGTTATCTCAGTAAATGCAAAATGAAAATTTTACTTGTAATGTTATCTTATTATTATTATCATTTTTTTTTTTTTTCATTAGCAAAAACACTTACACACTAGCTATTTTGAGGATTCACCATCCACTTTAGAAGTCAGAGAAGATATTACTCATAAGGCCCTTAATAATTTTACAAATTATGGGCACTGGGTTAGCCTTTCCTTAATATATGTAGAGTGGAAAAGAACGAGAATTTCATGGCACAGCTTTTGCAAAGATGTACTGAATGTAATCCAATTTGATCTCTTACCTACAAGAAATTTATTCACACTAAGATATGACAAAGTGAAATTGCCCTCTACAATACCACCAAATTTAGTGCATGCTCTCTATGTGGAAGCCACTTTGAGTTGTGCGTGGGCCAAATGCTCCTTCTTGGTAAAATACGAGTGAGGAGTGGTTGGATATATGCAAGGTACATAAAACGGGAGTGTATATAATGAATAGTTAATAAAATAGGGAATTCAAAAAACTATTTTCTCAAAAATATTTTATTTACTTGAAGAAAAACACCGAGAACAAAAATTCACTATTGGAACCCTCAACATCCAGTGTTTTTTTTTTTTTTTGTTTTCACACTATTGGAACTCAATTTTTTAATAACTTTTTTTCTAAAAACAGATCAAGGTAGAACCAAAAGGCAGTTTTTAATTTTTTTTAAATTTTAAAATAAAAAATTATTTGAACAGTTGCAAACTAAGCCAGACTTTATTTTCTTTTTTTATATGGTCTGGTTTAAAAAGCTACAATCAGGAACAGGAACCAAATTCTTGGGTTAAAGTCACAAGGAAGAAGATATTAATAAGAACATTCAGCTATATATATATATATATATATATATATATATATATATATTAGGGGAATTTCTTAGCATGTAGGTCCCAGAAGCATGGTTTTAGCCTTTGGCAGCATCCCCAAGTATTTTAAATAGCAACTTAAAATCTGTTAAGCGATTACTATAAAACAAAGAGATGGATAAGGAATTGATGCAGTTAGGGCCTCAACTTAGCACAACCACAATCCATAAACAAATGGTTTGTTGTTTTGGCAGGATTTTAACAAGGAATCCATGCCAAGGAATCCATGCCACGTGGAATGAATGCCATATAGTGTCTCATTTATACTTTACTTTATCTTCGTTGTGTTATGCAACTTTGAACATAATATATATACAGAGAGAGAGTTCTGATCTCTTATTTATTGATAAGTAAAAAAAATTATCTACACTGAAAAAAACGGCTCTCTTCACGTCTCTCTCTCAAAAAAAAATAATAATAATAATCATAAAATTATACCCTCAAAGTCTCTTGCAATAAAAATCAATATTAGGAATCCCGTACTGCCATGTCCAGAAGATGGAATTCTTAGATTAATTCTTTTTCCTTCTTCGTGGTTTTTTTTTTTTTTTTTTGTCATTTTTTCGTGCTTTGTTAATTTAATAACATCTTTATACTTTGACATTTAGTTGGTCTGCCGCAATCAGTTATCTCTCTCATAGGAATTATTTGTTAATCTACTCCTCTTTTCATATATTTTTTTTAAAATCAATTTTTGAATTCATGGTCTGAAATTCTTTTACATGTGTTCAATGATATGTTGGGATTGCACCCCAAAAAAAAAATATTTTGCTTTAATAATTAAATTGAATGGTATTGATAATCATAAATTTGAAAACTAAAATGGATACATGGTAGTTTTTAGTAAAATGAAGGAAAAATAGTGAATTTGAAATGTGACCATTAAATCTAACTGTGCACGTACAAAAGAGTGTTTCTATTCCACCTAACTAGGAAACAACAGACAAAAATTAACTCCTACGTGGATGACTCTATGGCCCAATAAAATCACTTATGTTCTTTTCTTTGTTTTTTTTTCCTACCAGCTTCTATTATTTTTCACCAAGATTCACCCAGAGCGGAGTAGATTGACGGAATCATGATATCAGCCACGGATCCGAAGCGATTTCTGGTCGAAAAATTTCAGGTTGGGATCCGACGATATCACAAGAGTTTTTGGAATTAACGAAACTGTTGCCAAAGTTGAGTAGTCGCTGCCCGCGGGTAACAACAGCCCGTCACCCCCGTTCGTTCTTGCTACAGTTCAGTCACACCATTTCGACGTCGGAACTGCGCCCTTGAGTCGCCGGTGCAATTCCTCCTTGCCTATGCCGGACTACTTGGTCGAAGTTCAATAGCGCCGTTTCAGTCCACTGCCGTTGCCGGAAACCACGTGAAGAAAGAGATGGGAGGATTTTGCAGAGGAGTCAGAGGGAAGGGTTGTGAGCAGAGGATGGGAGAAAGTGTTGTGGGCAAATAATTTGTTGCCATGTGGAGTTGGTTTTTTGTCGATATATTATTGTCGTCAAAAATAATATTTTTTCATACAAAATATGGATAAATACTCTTGCTCACCAGTAATCAAGAGATTGTGACTCTCTCTCTCTATGTATATATATATATATATATATATATATATTTGGTCCCAAACTGATCTTGTTGCGTGTCTTTTTCCGTATTGTGACACATAAGAAAAAACAAAAATAAAAGTTCATGGGATCCATACTTCACTGAGTATAGCTTACCGCTTACTATAGTGGACGCCATGAATGGAAAGGAGATGGATTTTGTCAACCCCATGAATACAATATTTACTATTAAAAAAATTAATAATAATAATAATAAACATTAATGAGAAATAGGTATTGAATTAAAATTTAAGATTTAATCCGGATGATGTGACAATAACTAAAAAGATATTAACATCTTCTATTTTATAGAAAAATGCTTACTTCACGAATTTTTATTTGTGATTTTATCTTGAATTAGGTGGCTGCTTATTTGGCTACTTTGTGTTTTTTAAAAGTAATTTTTTTAATATAGAAAATATATTAATATATGAAAGAGAAAAAAAATAGCAAAACTTACTATTATAGCATCCAAACTCTCATCCGTATATCATTTGGGAGACCATTTCTATTAAATCTGTAAATAATCAAAATTAGAAATTACAATTTTTTACCATGAGTGAGTGATCTCTTTCTGATTTATTATTTTCTAATTAAGGTTAAATTTGAAAGATATACCCAAACATATATAGAGTAATTGAAAAATATAGAATGCATAAAAGAATATATATATATATATATATATAATAAAAAATATATTAGTAGAGAAAAGAAAATTAGAGATAGACAAACTTAGAGATAAAACCAATATTTTAGAATTTCACATGTTTTCTTTTTCTAATGTGTATTAAACAAAATAAAGTGTAGTTCTATATACTTAAATGTAGTGATAGAGACATGGGATTCTCTTTGTACTTACCTTTTTATCTTTTGATTGTAAAGATACTACTAAAATATTTCATCAAAATTTGCTATTTTGGAGTAACATGTGCAGAAGATCCCTAACCCTTTTTTTAAGGTACATGATACCCTAATTGTCTATGAAAGTTGAAGCAAGGGAATGTTGTGTGAGATTCCAAACCACTTTCGGACACACTTTTGTGCACACTCTTGTACAATTTATATAATTTATCAAATATATTGGAAATATTGCATAAAAATTCTCTTACAATTTGTCCCTGAGGTATTTAATTTTTTTTTTATTGATGCATCTAATGCTTTATTTGTATTAATTTTTAGAGTAACGAAAGTGCTCTCGCAAAAAGTTTAAAAAGCTCGTGCTTATAAAGCACATAATTCTTATTTTTAGGAATTAGGGAGAGAGAATTAATTAAAGAAACAAGTCAAACTTTTTTTCTCTCTCTTCTCTCCATGTTTTTTCTCTCTTGGTTAACTAACTCTCAACCAATCTGCTTTTTTCTCTCTCTTAGTTTGAACACATAAATTTTTTAAGATAAGGCTATTCTAAAGCTCAAAAACATGAAAAAAAAAAAAAAAAAAAAAAAAAAAAAAAAAAAAGGAAAGAAAAAAAATCAAAATATAATTAAACAACACTTAAAATTTTTGTGATGATATTATTCCAAAGCTCAAAAACGTGAACAAACAAAAAAAGAAAATCTCAAATAGAATGAAATAGTGTCACGGATATGATAGATGAAATATAACTTACGAGAACCTAATATGTCAGCAGCTAGGAAGGATGGAATGCAGGTGGACCACGGAGAGACTCTTTGACCGAAAGACAAAGGGTTAACTATGAGAGAGAAAGAGAGATTCTTTGAGGGTGTTAACCAAGAGAAATAAAGAGAAAACGTGGAGAGAAGAGAGAGAGAAAAAGCTTGATTTGTTTCCTTAATTGTGAATGATTCTTTCTTAATTAATTATCTATTCCAAATCCTTAAAAATAGGAATTGTGAAACTTATAAACACGAACTTTTTAGACTTTTTACGATAGCGCTCTTGCAATAGCACAACTCTAATTTTTAATCTTATCATTAAAAAATAATTGTCAAAAATAACACAGTTTCGTCCATGGTATTAATTCTACTTTTATATCTTTTTAGGAAAAGTTGCATAAAACTTTTCCTGGACTTTTAATTTTTTATTTTTATTTTTATTTTTTCACAAAATACTCTTTGAAACTTAGTTTGATTATATCAACTCGCGGTCAACCGAAATAATTTAAATGGTTTAAAAAAAAAAAAAAAAAAAAAAAATTCAGAAACCCATATTACTTTTATTGGACTTCAACTTTCAACTTTTTATTTTACACATAATCCCAATTCTTAGTGATAAATGCTTTAATATTTCTTTCGTAGCAATATAAACCATGTGCTTCCTTATAGGAGCTTGGGCTAGTCAAGTGGAAGATAGAGGCATTCTCAAGTATACACCATATATAGCTATGAGCCTATGAGATGGCAAGTTTCTACGGGCTGAGACATCTATTTTTGGAAAAACAAATGCATCCCTTCCATCGAAAACCTAGGAAGCCTTAATGGGTTATAATTGTTATTAATTATAGGGTTTCAAAGATCCCAAACAACAAAGCTTGTTTGGTTTGTAAAAGAGTAATGATAAGAACCGGAAAGGAACTCCTAATTAATATTAAATTTGATGTGATTGATTATTTTTATTACGCGTTAAATATTTTTTATTTTCTGAATTTTTAAGAACTGTTTTCAGAGTTATAAATCAAGCATGCCTTTCTCATTTCACAGATTCTTTTGAGATAATAGTTTGGAGGGTATTTTGAACCTAAACAATAATTTTTAATACATATATAAT